AGAAATACAAAAAAATTCTACTCACAAGTACAGCTCATACATTACAAAGAGCTTTATCTATGTAAAATGTCTATATTTCTGAGATGAGGTATTGTAATTATTTACACTATTTACATTGTTTGGAATGTTGTCTTCATCTTTGTTGCCATATTCACAACGTTTCAGCTGTTGTACACTCCAGCCTTCTTCAGGTGTTTGGAAGTTTGAACTGAAGTCTTTATTTCATCCACTTGGGTAGATTGTGTCATGCCTCTTTCAGATGTCTCAGTTATCTCCCTTAAATTCAATTATCCAAGTTTTTGTTCAAAACTGCAATACTTCAGGTATTGAACAACTCTTTGGGTCAAGTCACTTGATCCAACCAACATTTTTATCCGCTGGGTCATGCGTCCTTGAGGTCATCAGTGTATGAATTTTGGGAACTTATAAACTTAATGTCTCAGTAACCGTTTTTCACCAGAGCTTACATTGCAATTTTTGTTGTGATTATTGCTTTTCTCTAGCACTCCATATTACTGGTTGCCATATTGTATTTATTTCTATGCTTGGCCAGCTCAGAAGATTTTTGTGGCCTAGCCTATGTGCTGATTCCTTAAGTTTTCACAAAGATGAGGACAACAGTCCAAACAATGAAAATAGTGTAAGATGTGTGTGATCATTGTTCTTTTTTTTTTTTACAAGAATGATCACTGGAAACTGTCATAAAGCCATATCTGACCTTAGATTTCTGGTTGGCACCCAAAAGGGAATGTGCATACAACAGGAATCAAAGATAATATTAATAATAATAATTAATGAAAGAAAAATGTAAAAGAAAATATGCTTTAAATTCATATTTCATGTCTTTTTTCAAATTATTTGAAATTTTGTATGTAAGCATTATTTTTATAGGACACAAGAAAAAAGAATCTGCTTTAAATAATATGAATATTAACATTTTTTATTTTAACTTAAAATCATTTGAAATTCTGTAAGAATTTGCTTTATCACATGGTATGAGCATATATATATATATGTATATATATATATATTTAATCAGTATTACCCCATGCAAGGTAGTAAAACCACTAAGACACAAGTGGTTACAAGGTCTGGAAGAAAATAGGAATGGAAACATTAATAATGTGCGGGAAGAGAAGAGAAAAGAATAATCGGGAGGGAAGTAGACAGTGATTGACATTGCATTTAAATTTTTGCAGATTAAAGTTGGCTGGAAAGCCTGGAGCCGGAAGGGAGTTCCACAACTGAGAAGTGTGAGAAAAAAATGTTACTATAGAATTTATGGCTACGTCTAGCCAACTCAACTGTAAATTGATGAGATCTCGATGTCAGTCTAAAACTGCACTTAAATTCAAAATGTTTAGGTACCATAGTGAAGAGATCACCCGTACAATTACCATGAAAATATTAATAGTACCAAGAGGCAACTTTATGGCAGTGAGAAAGTGACTGAAGCTGAGCCGACAGATCAGGACCATTAATATTGCTGATTCTTCTTTAGATTTTATCAAGGAGCTCAGCTTCTTCACAACAACTGCTACTTTTGAAAAAACATACTCCTGCATAGATGCTTCCCCAAACACTACAATATCAACCTCTTCAAGTCCAGGGACAATTATTATCTGTCCTCCTTATCTTCATAATCTTCACTCCCTACTTCTTCCTTTTAGGTTCATGCCACTCACCTAATTTAGTAACCCTCTACCTTGAGTGGCTCTTGAGCATTAATAAAAAAATAAATAATAATTTTTGTCTTGTTTTATTGAGAGAAGATGATAAGTTTGAATTTCAGCTTCAAAAAATTATATTTTTATCTGAAGCCATTTTTTTTCAGTACCCCACAAGTTGCCTTCCAGAGACTTGATACCCTTTGACCTGTCACACTCAATAATGTTATGGTTGTAAAAGATTGTAAAAGACATAGAAAATTAAATAAAGTTTCATTGGTTGGTTTTCTTTTTCATTTTCTGAAGCCATGTCAATAGAGAAAATAAAATCAGTGAAATCCCAACTGAGGTAGCTTGTGTTCACATAAATGCATTTGGAGAAGGAAGGTGATTTAATTAAAGAAGATCATCATAAATGACCATGATCAAAAGGACATTTATTCAATAACACAATGTGATTAAATTAAGACACAAGTCATGAATTAATGGCCAATTACTTGTTTTCCAAACACCTGCCAAAAGTAAATACATTACAATCCTAACCAAATATAAGATATTAGGATTTAGATATGGATTTAGATACACACACAAACATATATATATATATATGGATGCATGATGGCATAATGGCGAGGGACTCAAAAAAGAACTCAGAGGGCCAAGTTTGAATTCCAGTCAAGTTACTTACATGCAAATATCCTTGAGAAAAGTATGAATCCATCTCCCCTCCCCAGTTATGGGTAAATAGCAAGACAGATTTAGCTCCAAGCAGAATTTTCAGTTTTTGGATTGATTACTAAAACTACTAAATAAACGATCAGAACTCATCTCAAAATACAGACACAAAAACAAATTTTGACTATGTTACTTAAAAATTGAAAAACTGAAAAGAATAAATAAAAATAAATAAAATAAAAATAAATAAGCAAAACAAGTAAAATAAATTAATCCAAATAAATAAATACAGTAAATAATAAACAAACTAATAAACCACTTATAAATAATTGTCAGAATAGACTACCCACAATGCACCACTGACCTATATATAAATAGTCTAAAAAAAAAAAAACACAATGCATGTGGCCTGATGATTGTGTTTACCATGAAACAGTCTATCACCTCTGAGTGTTGACATCAACGTTCACTTTTATATTTTATATTTACATACACTATCTCTGATATTGACTACTTTATCTCATAAATATAGCACACCTTAAAACTATATATATATATGAGGTGCTAAAAAATCTGATCAAACATTATAATTCTTTTTTTAATTTTTTTTTCCATTGGGTCAAGGACTTTTCAGCAGCCCATTGTATATATTAGCATAGTACTGATTAAAAAATGATGCAATTATTAATGCATGGGTGGGCACTTCTGTTAAAGATCAGAGTGTTTGTGTACTCTACCTTGTCTCAAAAATGAAATTCCCCAGTATTTTAGAGTGTAGTATCTGCATATTATATATATATATATATATATATATATATATATATATATATATATATATTACACATGTGTGTGGTTGCAGGATGTATAACAGTATCTGAAACAAAAGTGATGATGATGAGACAAAGTGGAAATCTATAAATGGTTCATTTTGCCAATGTCTGGTCTCAGCTACTCTTTTATTCTGACCTGAAAAACCTGAGACCAAAAGACATCACTGAAACAGGTCATTTATAGCTTTTCCACTTTATCTCAACACACACACACACACATATATATATATATATATATATATATATATATATATATATATACACACACACACAATAATACAATTATTTACCTCTTTCATAATGAAGTTGCAAAACATAGAGTGATGCCTATGGGAGGACTGAAAGGCAGAAAGAGAGAGACAGAAATCAGTGAGAGATTGACAGATAGACACAAATCTAAAGAGAGAGAGAGAGAGAGAGAGAAAAAGAAAAGCAAAGAGAGAGAGAGAGAGAAAAAGAAAAGCAAAGAGAGAGAGAGAGAGAAAAAGAAAAGCAAAGAGAGAGAGAGAGAGAAAAAGAAAAGCAAAGAGAGAGAGAGATGAAACAGTGAGAAATAAAGATCTGTAAAGACAGACAGAGATAGTAAGATACAGACAGAGGGAAACAGAGAAAGTAAAGCAGAGAGAGACAGAGAGATGAAAAGAGAGATGCAGATAGAGAAAGACAAACAAATAAACAGAGTGAAAGAGATAACTATCAGGAGAGAGAGAGAGGGGGGAGCAACAAAAAAGGCCAAGCAATAGACAATGAAAAGACAAAGTCTATTCATGGAAATTAGATCAATGGATTGACTGACAGGCTTGTATCAAAATAATTGTAAATAAAATAAAATAAAAATTGCGTTTTGAATTTCTTTCTCCATGACTGACAGCACCAACTACTGAAGCAAATGCTGACATTGGAAAATTGCTAAGAACCATACACGAGCCTGTTGAATGTAGGTAGAGAATAAGAGGAAGGAGGGCGTTATTTTCATATTGGATTCAAGAAAACCCCCAAAGGAAACATGAAAGTGAGCAGTGAGTGGGGAGAAAAGCAAAGGAAATAAAATGTAAACTGGGATGCAGAATCAGCAGCAGCAGCAGCATCTGCAGCATCCGTAGCAAACAAAATCAATAAAAATCCCCCCCACACACACATATTTGATAAGCCAAGAGGAGTGAAAGCACTCTCATTGCCAGATGTTCATACAACCATTTTTTCCCCCTCTACAGTATAGAACAAGAGTCTTCCCTATCATCTCTCTCTCTCCATTCTATATTCCTGGTATAGAACGACTACCTGTTGCCATGGTGATGAATTACTGATTTGCTTATACAATGATGCCTTAACCCTTACCTCTCTTCCTGTACATGTCATAGAGGTTAATTTATATGCTTCTAATCTATAATTAAATTATAAAGATGAAAATGTCGAGTTTTGTTAAATAAATCATCCAAGAAAAAAGAATAAGTGAAATTTAAAGATTTAATAATTGTTTCATCTCATATCTTAGTAAGACTTTTTATTCAAGCTAGACTGCATTTAAGCAAAAATGAAAACTTCTTTCATGTGTGATGTCCCTCCACATCTTCCTGTCCCTTAATAAGTTTTGTCTTTTCGTTATTTCTCCCAGACACTGTTCTGCCATCCATTTGCTCAAGTCCATTAAATATGTCACACGTTGCTTTCCTCTGTCCTTCTTTCCATCCTGTGAGTATCAGATTTTCCAAGCCCTCTTTCTTCATTACATGTCTCAGAAATCTCTTCCTGATGTTAAGTATAAGTTTCCTCTTTGTTTCCATTCTCTCCAAAACCTTGTTGTTCATATGTTCCACACATGGTATCCTTAGCATCTTTCTGTAAAACCAAAACAGTAGAACAAAAATCATCAGCTAGCCTTAATGGGTGCTCAGCTATTGTAGCCTTGTACCAAAGTAGGCTAAGCTTTGTAAATAAACAAATATATATTTCCCTATTACTTAACTGTAGTGTCTGTCACTAATTCTTGGTGCCAGGTTAGAATTCTAGTTTCAGGAATTATAAAAGAATTTCTTTCAATTAACAATCGTTTTAGCTGCCAAAAATCAGTTATATTCACTTTTTTTTTTAAATCAGTAATACACCTGCTGCAGTTAGAGGTGAAAGGCCAACAAATACAAAGTTCATTTTGTTATAATGTTGTGTCAAGTTCTGGATTTACCTATGGACTTATCATAGTTAAAGCCTAGGGCCTCAACATCTCAGGTGCCTCCAGCCAAGGTGTATAAAATTTTTGACACTGTCATAGGCCCTTCTTACACATGGTGTCATAATGCATTGTAGACTCTAAACAACCCTTCTGTAATTTTAAACACCCGTCATCATCCTTAGCTTTACTCAAACTGTTTAACACTCTTCCATTTTCCTCTAGTCTTAAGAATGGGGGATTTGAAGAGGCCTCACCATGTGGAACAGCCTCGGGCCTCTCTTCATCAAAATCTGGCCCTGGTTGTGTCCCTGTTCATCTGAGCAGTCAGTCAAGATGCAAAATAATAAATTAACCACCAGGTTTTATTCGAAACATAGTGTTGCCACTTGCTTGTATAATGTGAACCAAAATTTTACTTTGAAATTTCGCTCTTCTAATTGACAACATTGTAAAGTAAGTAAAAGTCTCAGCACCTTCCTCGGGCTAAAGGGTTGCCTATTGATCTCCGTTGGAGATCAATCTCTTTGAATTTTATCTATAAATGGACCTGTATTTAACTTCATAAATCTAGTGCATTTATAGTTATGAAATTTAAATGCCAATGATGTACAAACAGAACTTTTGTTATTATTGTTAATGAATTGCATGAATTAAAATGTTGTTTCGTTCATTATTTCCTGTTGTCATTTAAAATAATCTGCAATACTGGAAAAAGAAAATATCTCATTGTTGGTTCTAATCTTGGGAGGAATGTTTATTTAAGTATTTTTTTTTTCTTTACTTTGTTATACAAGGCTGAAGGGGAAGTGGGGAGAGGCTGGTTAACACTATCCTATATCTAGCTAATCCAACTTGCGACCCATTCACTCTAATAATTTCCTCAAATCATTATCAAGAACCCATCCTTCTCCATTCAATCCAATATACACCACTATACCACATATGTGCTGGAATCCTACTAAAAATACCCATAATGTAAAAACTTTTCAATATGTACAAATATATTTTTCCAAACTTTTTTTTTTTTTTTTTACACACACATTTGGTAGGAATGATTCCAAAAAACATCCCCCTCCCCAAATTTATAGACAAAACATACAGATGCATGCTGGGATTTCTTCCAAACCAATAAGACAGGCCCCTTCTCAGTCTCATCAGACTTAGTTCTATTCCGTCTTGTCTTGAAGCCAGAATGCTGCAATTACTTGTCTGTATCCCCTTTTGTGTGTTAATACTAGTCTTAGTTTGTGAACTTTTTGCCTTATTACCATTGTTTTACCTTGTATATATTGTTTGCTTTGATTGCTTAATATTATTTTGGCCCTGTTCTTTACTTTCTCATGTTATTGCAAACTTTGTCAATTCTGTTTGTTGGATATTTCTGCCATGGCCAATTTTTACACTAAGTTTTGCACATGTTCCATTATTCATTTTCTCTTGCAGATTACTTTTACATCCATTAATTGTTAGTAAATACTTTATCCCAATGAGACTCCATGCTTCAAATGTCAACTGGGTCACCAATTCACTCCAGATCTCATATATTCAATCTACTGTTACAGATGCTGGAAAAATGGTTGGTTCCTTGTACCACTCCAGGAAGTACCTGACTCCTTCTACCATGCTTTATCTTTACAAGAGTCAGATTATGCCAAAAATGGAATATTATTGCCATGTCTAGATTGGAATTCCTCAACTCTTATTTCTCAGCCTTGGCTGAGGAATGAGTTCAAAATCCTTTACACCATCTTGTGGGAATATCTTATTCAACACTCTGCAACCTCTTTCCCACAAATACAATGTTGCAAACCTATTGCTATTTCTATGACAAATTTTCAGATTGGCTCCATTCTTTAGTTCCACCAGTTCAAGATTTTACTGCTAAGATATTCCCTACTATGTCCATAGAACTAAATCACCCTCATTTCCTTCATATTTCAAATATCAGGAGAAAGTTCCACTCAGACAGCTTTTTTTTCCAAGAACAGCTACTTTTTGGAACAAACTCTCATGTTGTTACCCTGAAAACTACAATCTTAACCTCTTCAAGCCAAGAATTAATCACTAACTATCCTTATATTCACAATTTTCACTTCCTACCACCTTCTCTTCCTCTCATATCAGACTTCATTCATTATAACAATATTAACAGTAACCATCTATCCCGGGTGGCTCTTGGGCTTTGTATTGGGTGAAATTTAGTATAAAATTGATATCTGTTTCATCATCATCATCATCAACATCATCAGTCCCATGACTACAGGTGTGGTCATACTGTCACTACACGGTTGTGCACTTGACCAGTTCCCCAGGACATATCTAAGTTAAAAACCGCAGGGGTATTCATTCTTGCATAGCATGTCTTGTGATAGTAGACTCAGCAGAGCCTTTCCCTCTCCAGGTTAAACCAGAGCTGATGTTGTTCTTGAAGGCTTACCTTGGTCACAGGCACAAAGCCATTGATACCATCAGAGGAATCCTTTACCATGGCCATTGTCTAGGAAGCATTCTGTCCGGTGAAGACATGGTATCACTGCACTGGTCAAATATAACCTGGTTCTCTAGTAATGAACAGTTGTTTTTTTTTAATCATTTCTCTCTAAGCAAGGCAATAAAACCCCTAAGATGCAAGGAGTTACTGAATGTGAAAGAATATGAGAAAAAGTCAAAGATTGCCCTTCTTACTTGAGAATTCTAAAGTAGCTCTTGTCTGTCAATGACAAGCTATTTGAGATGACATTTCTTCCGAAAGAAAAAAAAAAAAAAAAAAAAAAAAAAGAGAAATTTGACTCTAATAAGGTTTCAACAAAGATAAATGAATAAAATCTGCAACATTTAGTTTGAGCAAGAAGAGATAAAAACAAAGTATGAAGAAAAAAAGGGTCTTAAATTTTTTAAATCATTACATGATGTACAGGGAGCATAAAAGTTATTATTGCAGGAAGTAGAAATGGCGAATAGGGTTCAAATTCAATTTATAGTCTGTTGCATTCACTTTTGCACCATTTTATCCCCTCTTGTGATGATAGTGAGTCTATGAGAAGGACTACTTTTAATTCAAAACTGTGGAGAAGGCAACAGTAAATGAATCCAATGTCTTTGCCAAGAAGTCATGGAAAATTCACAAATAATAAAGAAAAGGAATCTGAGGAGAGCCACAATCACTTATGTGATGATGATTGTTTACAGATGACAAGAGACTGATAAACTGAGTGATGAAAATCAACTAAAGCTATAATGAAAGAACTGAAAGATCAGGTCAGAAGTTAATAATGGTTGGAAAGTGGGGTGGAACTTTATCATCAGAGCAGTTAATTAATTAAAAAATAGTCCCTCAGAAAGAAAAAAAGAGAATGCAAAAAAATAGAGTGAAAAATAGATAATGAAAAAGAATGAAAAAGAGTGAAAACAGAGAATATGAAAAAAAGAGAATGACAAAAAAGAGAAGGAAAAAAAGAGAATGACAAAAAAGTGTAAAAAGTGAAAAAAAAGAGAATGAAAAAAATGATTGCAAATTTGAAAGCTTTTAACAATCTACAATTTTCCCAATCATCTACTTTAATTTTCCTTAATCTAGAAACGTCAAGCATCTTCATCCATTTTGTTTCTAGCATTTACCATTTCTGTGTTTTGTCAACTTGAAGGCTTTTAATAATCTATCATTTCTAAAATCATCCACATAAATTCAACTGTTTGCCATTCCTGCTATTTTGGCACATTAGAATTATTCTCTAAGAAGCTGCTGCTTACCGGAACCTTTAATGGCTACATTTCAACAACCATCAAATTGATTATAATGTTCATTTAAATCAATACAACCTGATTTAAGTCAGATTAATTTGTGCCGATGGATGGATATGCAGCAATACAAACACAGGAAGTTTGTCAGCACAGCAGGGAAAATGAAATAAAATTTCAATTTTTTTTTTTTTTTTTACTGTTGTGCCAGTTCAGCAGTTACCTTTTAATAAGTCCCACAATTTTTTATCACCTATCTACAACCATTTACTAAATTTATTGGTGTGACTTTTTTTAGAAAATTCTTGGTGTATCATGGTAATTTAAGAAAAGAACACAAAGTAATATACACTCTATAAAAATACAGAAAAAAAGATCTACTGATGTAAAATTTTTAATTGTATTTGACATTTTCAGTCAGGCTAAAACTTACATACAGTAAACCATTTCAAGGCACTAAGCAACATTCAAATGAATCATGTTGCATTTCAGTACATAGGTGGCAAGTGGATCAAGAACATGGATAATCCCTTTTATCTGCAAATATCTATGATTGCTCAGCCTTGAAGGAGAGAAAATCCAAAGAATGGAGATTCTACTCCTTTTCTTTTTAATTCAATTTTTTTCTTCTTCTGATATCATTTATTGCCTCTTTTCAACTCCTTTTAAAAGGAATTAAAAAAAAGAGAAAAGTAGTTTTCAATCTCATTTTAGTTGAAGGATAGATAGATGTCCAATACTAGCGAAAACATTATGGCTATCTTTACTGAAAATAATATACATGTATTTGAAAGTATACATTAGATATGCGACAATATATATTGATTATTTACTAAATTTAGTCGAGTATAGGAAAATACTTCATAAGGATTGAATTCACTTTAAAAGTAATATTTTGCCAGTTTAACTTAGTAGTCTGGTGATGTACCCA